AAGAAGAAGGCCCGCGCACGCCTCGAGTCCATGATGCACTACTAACGCACCACGGAGGTCGCAAGATCAAAAAGAAGAAAAGAAAAGAATAAAGAAATTCAAGAAGAACACAAACTCACGACCTCAGAGCTGGTTGAGGTCCGGCAGCAAACAACAGTTAAGGCAGGTGGACAGAGATGAAGCATAAGGTGGCCATCCTTGGATCCGGCAACTGGTACTTTGTCATCTCCTGCGGGAGTGTTAATCTCAATCGAAAAAATCGCCGGCAGCGAGGTCACCAAGCTGGCTGAACAAGAAGATCTTTTGATGGCAAGCTCATCCATCATCCAATCATTCATTTGTGTTGCAGGGGCTCTGCCATCGCGAAGGTGGTGGGGCAAAACGTGAGGCAACACCCGGAACTATTCGAGGACGAGGTCCGGATGTACGTCTACGAAGAGCTCGTCGACGGCGAGCGCTACCTGACCTCCATCATCAACACCAACCACGAGAACGTCAAGTACGTCGTAGAGCCCTGCTCCTTCTTCTTCATCCTTCTTCACCTCCCGTGCCGTATCAGTGATGCTGATCGGTACCACTGCCTGGCAAACACGCAGGTACCTGCCGGGCGTGAAGCTGCCGGACAACATCGTGGCCGACCCCGACCCGATCCGCACCGCCGAGGACGCGACGCTGCTCATATTCGTTCTGCCGCACCAGTTTGTCAACTCGCTGTGCCACAAGCTCAAGGGCAAGCTCCACCACCGGGCCAAGGCCATTTCCCTCATCAAGGTGAGTCGTGCACTCGTGGGTTACACACCAATGGTGGTTGTGGCGCACTGTGCTTGCGTTAACGCTGCGTCTATGTACGATGTTGTGCGTGTGTCATGCGTGTTGCGTGTGTGTGTGTGTGTGTGTCGCGTCGTGTGGGTTAGGGTATGGCTTTCAATGAGAAAGGTCCCGTGCTGATCTCGAGCATTATCGAGGACATTCTGGGCATCGATGTGAGCGTCCTTTGCGGAGCCAACATCGCCAAGGACGTGGCCTGGGAGCACTTCTCCGAGACCACCGTCGGTAATGATGGACAGACACCCACACCCACACCCACACTCCTCCCCCCCCCGCTGCTTTGCTTACCCCCGCCCAAGGCTACAAGGACAAGGAGGTGGCCCAGGTCTGGAAGCAGGTGTTCCACAGTCCTTCGTTCAACGTACGCACGCCACACGCACGCACATACACACACACACACACGCACGCACGCACGCACGCACGCACGCACGCACACTCACGCACATTCTCTCTTTATGCGCCTCGTGTGTAACATCTTTGTGGGTGTCACGGCCACCAGGTGGGCCTGGTGGAGGATATTGCGGGCGTGGAGCTGTGCGGCGCGCTGAAGAATATTATCGCTGTGGGCCTGGGCATGGCCGACGGCCTCGGGTGCGTTGCACCGCTCTCTGAGGTGGGAGGCGCACGCCCCGTGGTCGACCAACTGACACGGAGCTGCGTATGTGCCCCCAGGGCCGGCGCCAACACGAAGGCAGCCATCATGAGGATCGGTCTCGCTGAGATGCGACGGTTCGCCGAAACCTTCTTCAAGGTACATAGATAGACCAGCCTTCGCCCTCTTTACGGTCTGCTGTTCTCTTGACACCATCGGCTTGGCGCAGGGAGTGAAGCAGGAGACCTTCTTCGAGAGCTGTGGTGTGGCGGACCTTATTGTTACCTGGTACGAATGCCCACATCGGTGTCTGGTTCACATGTGATGATGTGATTCTCAATGGCGCGGCCTTCGCTTTCTCTGTGCTTCAGCTTCTTCGGACGCAACCGCAAGGTGGCCGCCGCCTTTGTCAAGCAGAAGAAGGTACGTAAAGCCGTGACATGTGAGCCATCACCCACATGAGAGAAGAATCTGACTCGAGATGATGGGGCTGAACGTATGACACAGAGCTTCGAGCAACTGGAGAAGGAGATGCTTCATGGCCAGAAGCTGCAGGGCACCCTGACGGCCCAGGAGGTGAACACCATTCTCAAGCGAGCCAACCTCACCCACAGGCACAACTTCACCCCCTGCCTTCTGCGCCTCGTGATGCGAAAGTAGCCTCACACCGTCCGTGCGTCGTGTGTGTCGTGTCTGCTCATCAGGTTCCCCCTCATGACCACCATCTACGAGGTGTGCTTCGAGAAGAAGGACCCGCACAGCCTGACCGATTCCGGCATCGCCTCTCCCCACGTCCCTGCTTCTCTCTGATGATGGTGCCTCCTCCACCACACATCAACGTTGAGTTCACCACCGCACGTGGTTGCTTGTGTGGGTGGGTTTGGTTTTATTATTGGTCTGCGTCTCCTCCCTATCTCTCTAGATAGCTAGCCTGCTGCTGTTGCTGTTGGCCGCCAGGTGGTCTCCCTATATCATCCACTCGCTCTCTCTCTCTCCTCTCTCTTTCACGGCGGCAGGCCTTGGCTCTTCTTCAGCATCCGCCTCGATCTGGTTCGGTGTAGTTGAGTTGGGCGGCGAGGAGGAAGATGACGAAGTGCAGAAGCAGAAGGGGCAGAAGGGGAAGAGCTTGGCTTAGTAGGCCTTGCCGAGCTCCATCTTCTTGCCGAGGGTTCGCAGGGAGTTGTAGATCAGCGAGTCGATGATGCCCGCCACCGTGAACACGCCACCGATGATGGCGCACACGCCGGTGAGGAAATGCGCGAACGACTTGGTCCGCTCCGTGAACTTGACCATGATCGGCGACAAGTCGTACATCACGAACAAACCTGAGCGCGCAAGACGAGTCAATAGTATGCCCAACTTTTAAGAAGAACGAGAACATACCGGGCAGTCCAGACTTGTCGCCAGGAGGCAGCATGCGAGTGTGCTCAGTGACGGAGAACTGGTTCGTGTTGATGACGTTGCCGTCGAGGGACTCGTAGATGGTGGGCACGATCTTCACGAAGTACTGGTACATGGCCGAACCAGCACCGGGATCTACAGACAGACGACACATTGGTCACCGTCGCCGATGGATTGCAGTGATCGGGGATCGGGTAGAGAGGGAAGGTAGTAGTACCAGTGGTCTTCTCGACACCGTCAAGGGGGTTGATGACGCCCGGGAACTCCTTGCCGAATGAGATGCGGTTGATGCGGTGGGAAATGTTCCAGCTGGACATCCGGAAAGGCTGCAGGTCGTGGACGTGCATGTGGTGCGCCTGGAACGACTTGCCGGGAGCAAAGTGGAAGTTGCCCGCCACCTGTGGGCCAGTGCATCATCGCCGCGCAGTCGTTGATGATGTCAGTTCGTGTCTTGAAAGAGAAGAAGAAGTAGAAGAAGAAGAAGAAGAAGGAAAGCACGCGCACCTTGTTGACGAGGATGTGGCCGTAGACCTGGCAGCCCTCACCCTTCTGCTTCTCCAGGTTCTCGCTGAAGCCCTCACGAGCGCACTGCGCACAACGCGAAAACGAAAACGGGCGGTCAGACCAACACTGGTGCGGTGAACTGGCGGTGGGACGAGAGTCACTGGGAGGGCGAACCTGCTCGATGCTCTCCGGATGCGCGAAAGCCCAGCCCTTCTTGCGATAGGACTCTCGAACCTCGGCACAGGTGTTGCAGCACTGGCCAGGCTCCTGATCGAGGGCACCAACACAGCATCACGCGAAAGGTGAGCACAAAAAACGATGACGCGCACCATCCCTGCACTTGACGAGCGCGTGCGGTGTGAAGCGGTGGATGCCGGGGGTGGTTACCTGCTCAGAGCCGTAGCACGAACCGCACTCGATGGGCTCCAGCTCCTGGCCCGGCGAAGGCGTAGCGGCAGCCTCGAGTTCTAGAGGGGAAGTGTAGAGAGTGAGGGGCTGGGGTGGAGAGCAGCAGCCCTTTCAGGCGTGGTAGTTGATGTGTACCTCCTTTTTCGATTCCAAGAGGGCGGCCGTCGGCGGCTAATCTCTTTTTGAAGATGTTGTGTTCTACATCGAGCTGGTGCTCGCCAGACACGTCCATGGCATCTACGCTCAAGTCTGTGGCGGCAGGAAGCATAAGGATGTGCTGCGGCCACAGGGGTTTGTGGAGAGATGAGAGGGGGCGCGACGCACATCCACAGGGAAGATCGGGGAAGGTGACATCCATATTAATCCTCAACTTCTCTCCTCGCGAGGTATCCACGAAGAGCTCGGGTTGCACATCAGTTGAGAGATAGAACGAGAGCTCAGAAAAGAACAACCAGGTGATAATCAGGCCGCTGATAATGGACACTGGTGAAGAGATTAGAGAAACGCGACAGCAGGAAAACAGTAATGTACTGAATAAATTTGGAGATTGCGTGGCCTACCTGCTGCGCCAGAGACGGTTCTGACTCGAAAATCCTCCAAGGTCTTGGGATAAGCATCGAAGCTCTTCAGCTTCTTGAAGAAATCGCCGCGCATGCTGGAGAAGGCGAGGAGAGGATGGTGGCCGAGGTACAACACAACACTCACTGTTGGCCACAAGGAAACAAAGAAATGTTGCCCTGCCACGTCACCCGCTTTTTCACTTGAAAAGATAAAATAAACATGGAACGCACCACACCACCGGCCTGCGATGACGTGCAGCCTGCTCGCTCTCATGAGCCCTTCTTTGTATCGGCCACGCTGTTGACGGGGACGAGCTATCTCGTAGACCTCTCGCCGGCTGCAGGCCCCGACTGTCATGGCGCAGATACCACCGTGGGCCAGGCCAAGGTCCGCATCGGGGCGTGCCAGGGCCTGTGGGAGAAGGGCGGCCTCGACCCCGACCAGTTCCGCCTCATCTTCGCGGGGAAGCGACTGCAGGACAGCCGACCCCTGTCCCACTACGGCCTGCGCCACAGCGGCTCCCGACTGCATGTGGTGGTGCACCTCATGCGCGGCCTGTTCTTTCCCCTGGCCCCTGCCCCCAACCCAGCCAAAGACGAAGTCGGTGACTGCACCTCCATTTTCTCCACCTCTGGGTTATCCAATGGTGCAGTGCTTTCCAGCTCCAGCTGCGCTTTGCCTTCCGCAGCGTGTAACGTAACGTTGTGCTGTGTCGTGCAGAGCGTGTAGAGCGTGCAGAGCGTGCAGAGCGTGCAAGGAGGACCGACATCTGCAGCTGGCTGCAGGACAGAGTGCACTTGTGGCGGGTGGGTAAAGACACTGACTGGGCCGAGCTCATCATTGAGCCCGGCGGCTCGTACGAGGGTACAATGCTCATTGTTGTCCTTCTCGTCTGCGTGCTGGACCACATCTCCTGCATTACACGTGTGCAATGTGCCAGGTGGTGCATTCCTCCTGCGCGTAGCCTTCCCCCAGGTCTATCCGTTTCGTTCGTTCCGGCTTAGGCTTATCACGCCCCTCTACCACCCCACTGTGGGTCCGGCGGGCATCATGGCCGTGATCGGCTACGATCCGTACCCCGCCACCCTCCTCCTCCTCCTCCTCCTTGATCTCCTCTTCTGGTTTTGAGCCAGGGCGAACAGCTGATTTGGCGTCACATTCTGAACATAGGGTTGCTTCGTGGAGTCCTGCACAGTCGGTCCGCACGCCTATCATAGGCGACTTCATCCAGCAGCTCCAGTCCTACTCGCTTGGTGCGGTGACGTGCGAGGTTCTCAAACGAGAGATTGTGCAGGTAAGCTACTGCTCCCTCCGCCTCGTCGCCATCAAAGCCCCGGCTGCTGACAACGTTGCTTCTACTCTACACGCGAGGCAGATGGGGGATGTGCTAAACGAGTTGGTCACCATCGGCGAGGAAGGCGCTCGCGCCAAGGCCCGCTTGTGGACTTGGCACTTTGCAACCGGCCACGGTCGCGCCTACATGCGGTCCGGTCGCCGCTGCTCGGGCATGACCCAGCTCGCGAGCCTCATCGCAGTCGACCCACAGGTCACACGCCACCACTACTCTGCTTTGTTATCTGCCTCGTCATGCAACACGGTGGGCTGACTTGTGATTGCTTGCTTCCCACAGCTGCGGAACGAAGTCCGCTCGGTGCTGCTTGTGGCCCACCGATGGCAATCGAAACGACAACAACAACAAGATGAAGACAAGATGGAGGCGTTCGATGGGGAGGAAGAAGGGTGGTTGCTCGGCGCTCTGCCGCGAGAGCTGCTGCACGCCGTCTTGGTCTGCATCGGCAGCGACCGCCGGCCACCACCGCCGGCCGCCCTCATGTGGGAGCTGGTCAACGAAGGCGACGACGGCCTGCCAGAAGACTGGCGCTCTCGTCTCCCTGAACTCCCACCAGCACTGTAGCTCGCGTGCATCTCGCGCGGGCATCTTCCGCCGAATGTGCCGAAGAGAAAACCAGAGAAACACTTGAATTAAACTTGATTGAGCAACGAAGGAGGACGAAGGCAATACATCCTCTTGCTCCTTGGATTAGAATCAGGAAAATCTTGAACGGATTGATAGACCTGCAATTTGTACATTTATTGGTTTAGATTGAAAACGGCTTGCTGGCAAGGTAGATCGAAATGCAACAAGACGTGACCTCGACCAGCAGTTCTGCAGCCGAGCAGGGGGAAGCCCCGGCGCGGGCTTGGTGGGGCTGGGGCTCATCTTCAACTTCGAGCGGAAGCGTTGCGACGTCGGCTACCCTCTCCCCACCTCCTTCTGGCGGCGCACCCGTGCCCGACCCCGCCTGGCGTAGCGACATCATGCGACAGATCAACGTACGCGATGCCCTCCAACGGCGCTCGTTCATCGACCTCGTGCGACAACGTACAGCCCCTTCCCTTCCAAATCTACTCCTTCTCTGCCGATTTCGTTGTACATCCGCAGAGTTGTGGCTAATGCGTGGCTGGTTGGATGGTTGTGTTTCGACAGAGAACTTCTTTTTGAAGGAGAGGTCCATGACCCGAGACAAGACCGCCATGTTGGAAAAGGAGGTGCTCCACCTCAAGCAGCTCATCGGCGAGCTCAAGCGCACCGACACAGACGGAGCCGCAGGCGAAGGGCACGCCCTCCTTCCTCATCATCATCATCGTCCTGCACTTACCCCAGTTGTTCGTCGATTCAATGATGGCTGATGATGATGATGATGGTGGTGGCTGATGATGGTGGTTGATTGCAGGTCGGTGGAGGTTGTGGGCAAGGGCGCCGACATGCAGAGGCTGCAGCAGGAGCTGACCGAATGCTACAAGCGAAACTCGGAGAACGCACAGGAGCTCCTCGAGCTCAACCGCAAGGTCAAGGAACTCACCGCGGCTGCCGCCGCCAAGCAGGACCAGTTACGCATATGCAACCCCGCAACCAGCAGCTTGATCGCACGCGCCATCATCATCATCATCGTCATCATCTTCTTCTTCTAATGCGTCCATTCATTCATTTACGCAACACGTGATGATGCAGGCTGAACACCGTAGAGCGGATGTGCGAAGGTCTGAAGGTGGAGCTGCGGGAGCGCGTGATGGCCCTGAACATCCTCACACCCGAGCTCGATTCGCTCAAGGTACGCGCACCACAACCCAACCCAACGTTGCGAGCGGTGGTGGCCATGTTGGTGATCGAGTCGATCTCCCTGGGGTGCCCACAGGTCGAGTTGGCGCGGGCCGAAGCGCGCAGCAAGACGCTCGAGGAGGAGAACGCGCACCTGCTCAACCGCTGGCGGCTCAAGGTGTCCGAAGAGGCGAAGAAGATGAACGAGGCCAACGAATTCTACCACCAGGTGCAGCAGATGGCCAAGAACCCGCTCTCCCTGTCCAGTACGCCCGCCCACCGTCAGGTCTGTGTCGTCTGTCATGATTGACAATGGCGCCCCGCCCCCCCGATCTATATCGCCTCAGACGAGGCCATGGGCGGCGCACCGCACGAGGCACAGCCGACGGACGACCGCACCCGCAAGGCGCGAAGCCACGGTAGCAGCGTGCCGCGGCGAGTTCACACACGCCTGGTACTCCCCGACCCACCCACCCGCGATTGTGAGTGTCACGAGTGCGCTGACGGTGGTGCGTGGGGGCGAAATGAAGCGTGCGCACACCGGGGACGTGAGTTCGGTGACGTACGATCCCGCCGGCGAGCGAATCGCGTCCGGCAGCGCGGACACGACGGTCAAGGTGTGGCGAGCCAACGGCGAGCTGCAGTCCACGCTCTCCGGGGCCAAGCTCGCCATCACGCAGGTCGAGTTCGCCCCCGGGGGCGACATGGTGTTGGCCTCGTCGTGCGACGCCGTGGCGCGGCTGTGGAACCTCTCCAATGCCAAGATCAAGCACACCCTGACCGGTCATGTGGGCAAGGTACCCCAATCTTCGTCTTCATCATCTTCATCATCACCATCACCATCGCCGCACTCGCTCTCCGTCAATTCCCGACCACGCCCCAGGGGCTGATTCCACACTCACCTGTTGTCGGGTGGTCTGGTCAGGTCATGGGCGCCACCTTTGTGAGCGCCGAAAAGATCATCACGGGATCGCAGGATCGCACGGTCAAGGTACCACCAGCACACGCCCACATGCAGTCGGTCGACGGCTCAGTTCCCCACACTCACAACGTGGTGGTGGTGGTGGTGGTGGGTGGTGGTGGTGGTGGTGGTGGTGACCAGGTGTGGGACCTGGGGAAGGGGTACTGCGTGCGTACGGTGTTCTGCTATTCGCCCTGCAATGCCGTGGCCGTCGTGGGCGAGAGCACGCGCATGCTCTGCTCGGCTCACGCGGATCGGCGCGTCCGGCTGTGGGATCTCAAGACGGCCGACCCCGTGGCCGAAATCCAAGACGTGCAGTCCAAGCAGGTACGCGCGCGCACCATCTACAACCACCTCCCCCGCACACACACAACACAACACACACACACACACACACCACAATTGTGCTCGGCTGACATGGGTGATGAACGCAGGCCACCAGCATATCGTGGAGCCCTGCGTGGGAGTACCTGGTGCTGACCACCGCGCCAGACAACACCGCACAGCTGATCGACCTCCGGAACCAGAAATCCGCACACACCTTCCGAGTACGTCGACGACCCCCACTGGCCACCACTTTTCAGCTGCGCGTTGAGCCTTACGGTGCGACACCCCAAAAACATACGTGACGCGCACACAGCCACCACAGGGCGGGGTGCTGTCGCCACAGGCCTGCTTCAGTGCCGACGGTAATTTTGTGGCGGCAGGCTCGACGACGGGCGGCGTCTTCGTGTGGAACACGCACACCGCCGCGCTGGAGGCGCACATCACCGAAGGCCACCAGTGCGTTTCTCCAGCCTTTTCGAATCGAATCGCTACCAGGTGAGGAAAAACAAATCCTAACCCTACGGTGTTCTTTCAACAGAGCTGGCGTAAGCAGCTGCACCTGGGGAGCACGGGGCAAGCCGCTCGTCACCGGTGGTTCGGACGCCTCCTTGCTCGTTTGGTCGTAAAGGAAAAGAAGATGCTCGCCTCTCCTCTCTTGTTACTTTTTGTTATTAGTACTGCGCCATATTGTTACTTTAGATAAAATCATCAGCACCCCAACAAGTGAACAAGGCTTGTGCCCCCCAAGTGCAGAGAGCACAGCGTTGAGAGTTGCGCGTTGTTGCGTTGTTTTCTTTGCGTTCATTCCCGCTTTTTCGCCTGCTGGCCGAGGAGAGAAAACGAGAGGGACAGGAGGTCGCCGGTCACCTTCGGTCGTTTGATTGGCTCCACCTTGGCACGTTCCTTCTCCTTCTTCACGCCCTCTTCCTCGTCCGCCTTCTCCGTGTTGAGCAGCCTCTTCTCCTTCTTCCTCCGCTTGCGCTCTGCCGCCGCGTCCTTCACCTCTCGAGTTGTCGTCGTTGTCGCCGACTGACCATACTCTCCCTCCGGGTCAAGTAGATCCACTTCCACCTCCACGTCATGTCGCTCCGCGGCCGCTGGCGTGCGGTAGTCCGGCGCGAGCCGCTGTCGGCGCTGGTATGGTTGGTGCTGTTGCTGCTGCTGCGGGCGGTTGTAATACCGGGGCCGGGCGGCTTGCGGCTGAAGCTCGAGCGGGGCGAACGGGTCCTGGGTGTCCTCGTCGGGGATGCGGTCGGCCCGCATCAGCGCCCGCAGGCGCAGGGCCGAGCCGGGGCTCTCGGGCGTGGCCAGCCGCACCAGCGCGTTGTAGAGGCTCGCGTCCACCTTGAGCCCGCGCTGGCGCAGGGTGTGGATCAGCTCGATGGCCCGGTCGGCCTCGTGCAGCATAATGTAGGCCTTGAGCACGGGCGCCAGCAGCCGCACGACGTGCTCGCCGCTCTGGTAGTGGTGGCTGTTGCTCCGATCGGCCACCACCTCCTGGATCCGCTCGACCAGGGCCGCCCCGCGGCCGGCGTCCCGCTCGAGCCGGTCCACGAGCGGCTGGAGCTCGGCCGTCTTGTAGTGCAGCACGCAGAAGCGGATGAACGGCAGCAGCGCGGTGGGCGGGGCCGACGGGTCGCGCTCGTAGAGCAGCTTCACCAGGCTCGGGATCAGCGCCGCGCGCTCGCCCACCCGCCGCAGCCTCACCGCCCTCTCCTCCTCGCTCTCGGCCCCCAGCGCGGCATGCTGCTCATCACCGTCGACACCGTCCATACCGTTGTCGCTAATGTTGCCCGCGGCGGCCGTGCGGCTGTCGCGGGTGTCGAGGAAGAGGTGGTAGGTGGCGGGCGGGAGCGGGGTGTTGCGGGTCAGCAGTTCGGTGAAGACCGTGTAGGCCTTGTCCGTGTCGTCGCGGCGAAGGAAGACCTTGATGAACGAGTTGTAGATGAGGTCCTCGCGCTCGATCACCTTGTGGTCCTGCAGATCGCGCAGCACGGCCCACATGCGATCGAGCCGCCCGCTCGACTCGTAGTGCGTGATGAGGAGGTCGATGGTGGCCATGTTGGGCGCGACGTGCAGCCGCTTCATCCGGTCGATCACGCTCTCGACGGTGTTGGTGTCCACGGTCCGCAGCAGCGCGTTGAACATCGTCACGTTCACCGGGTCCCGCGTGTCCTCCTCATCCAGCACCACCTCCTCCCCATCCACTTGCGCGACATCACGCTCCTGTGTGCGTGCGATGTGTGCGGTGTGTGCGACGCAGTGCGTGCAGTGTGTGCGGCGGTGAGTGTCAGGACATTGGGGTAAGCAAGGGGGGGGGAGAATGCAAGGAATGTTAACCTTGAGGCTCTCTCGCTGCATGATGGCATCGACGATTTCGAGGGCCTTGCGCGGGTTTTGGTTCTGAATGCACGCGTTGAAGAGACTTCGGTCCACGAGCCGCTGGCCCGCGTCGGCGTTCCCGCCGCGCTGCTGCTGCTGCGCCTTCTCATGGATCAGGAACGCGAGCTCGAGCTCATTTCGCGTTCCGCAGAGCTTGATCAGCTCGCTGTAGGTGCGAGTCTCCAGCGGTACGCCCTCCGTCGCCTCAATCCTCTCCAGCAGTCGAAGCTGTGTGCGGCGACATCAGTACAACGCACACGACACACACAGCATGATACGACACACAGCACGCATGGTACCAGGTCGGTGGTCTTGGCCTTGGGTCCGGCCTTGTGGATGAGGTGGTAGAGTACGTAGGCGCTGGGCGCGAGCCCATAGCGGCGCTTCATGTCGCCCAGGGTCTGGACGGCCTTGCGGAAGTCGCCCGCGTTGAGGCACGCCTGGACCAGGCCCGCGAGCGTGATCTGGTTGGGCCGCACCCGCTCCTGGGCCATGAGCGCGAGCACGTCGAAGCAGCGCTCGACGTCGCCCGCCTGGCCGTAGGCCGAGATGAAGCTGGTGAAGGTGATCACCGTGGGCGCGATGCCGCGCTCCTTCATCTCGTTGAGCAGCTCGTGCGCGCGCCCAAAGTCGTTGACCCGGCAGCAGAGGTCGATGAGCGACGAGTAGGTGACGTCGTTGGGCTCGAGCTGGCGGCTCTGCATGCCGTCGGTGAGTTTGAGCGCCAGGTCGAGGTCGAGCGCGCGATTGCAGACGTGCAGGAGCGAGTTGAAGGCGAACGTGTCCGGCGCGACGCCGGCGCGCTTCATCTCGTCCCACACCTGCAGCGCGCGGGGCAGGTCGGCCTCCGCGGCGCACACGTGGAGGAGCGCGGTGAAGGCCACGCGGTCGGGCCGCACGCCGTCGCGCTTGACCATCTGCTCAAAGTACCGCAGCGCGCGGGGCAGGTCGGGCCGCACGCTCCCGTCCAGCTGCCCGCCGGCGTCGCGCCCGGCCAGCCCGCGCACCAGGGTCGTGTAGGTCATCACGTTGGGCTCGGCCCGCCACCGGCCCTCGCCCTCGCGCAGGAGGTCGAACAGATCGCACGCCTTGGCCACGTCGCCGTAGGCAAAGTAGAGGTTGAGGAGGTAGTTGAGGCACTGGCCGTTGACCTGCACCTCCTGGTCGCGCATGGTGGAGAGGATGGTGGCAACGAGCGGGTCGAGCTCGCGCCGCTGGAGCACGCGGGACTTCCACAGGGTGTGGAAGATGAGCGCGTAGCCGTGGGCGGCCGAGTCGGCGGCGGAGACGTCGGTCACCTTGTCGGCCAGCCGGAGGACGCGGGCGCGCAGCTTGGGGTTGGTGCACGACACGAGTAGCGAGCAGTAGCGGCGGGGCTGGATCACCGCGTGCTCGGCGCGCTCGAGCCGGTCCACTTCGTTGCGCAGTTCCTGATCCAGGAGAGAGCCACAGAGCGCGTTACACAACAGCACCAGAGATGGCAGCAATCGTTGTTGTCTTGAAGACAAAGGTTGAGTGAGTGAAGGTGGTTGTGAGGGTCCTGTACCTGGGTGCTGAGCACGTCGAGTGGGATCATGCCCTTGCCCAGAATGACCATTCGATTGCCCTTGTCCTCGGTCACCACGGGAGCTTTTTCGCAGGCAAAGGTGAGCGATGAAGGCTGAAGCGACAGTCGTGGTGTGTGTGTGTGTGTGTGGGCTCGCGTACCGCTGTGTACAAGGCGGCAGTGCGCGTGTATCGGGGCGAAGCCGGGCTGTGCTGCTCGCCAGGCGCGTCCGGCGATGACTGTACCTCGGCCGCGGCTGCTGCTGCTTGCCAGCCAACGGAGCGTCGCGCTGCCGCTACCGATGCTGCTTACCGCAGAGGCGGGCAAGGTGCGAAAAGAGCGTGCAAGGTGGAGGGTAGGGGCCGGCGGAGAAGGAAGCGAGGTGGAGGTGAGCCCTGCGAGACGCCTGGCATCATAGAGGAAAATTAGACAAATTCCAAATTTTTAATCTCATCAGATGTCAAGCGAGCAAACCTCGGCATGAAGCCATTCTTGGACTGGGCAAGAAAGGACATGTCGGCAGGCTGGAAAGATGCTTTCTGGCCAGCAATCACTCGCCGTATCAGCCGCAGAGATGGTAACGATCAATGTTGTAATGTTGCGATTCGAAGAAAGAAGAAAAAGAAAAGAAAAACCAAAAAGAGTCTTGCCGCGTGCGCCTCAGAGCTCGCGCAGGTTCTCGGGGAGCGAGGTCTCGCGGTCAGCGGCGCGCGAGCGCTGCAGGGCGTGCAGCGAGCAGGGGGTGGATTGCCGCAGCTCAGCGTACTCGGCCTCGTCGTAGTAGTCTCTCGACTCCTCCCGATCCGTGTCGTCCTGCTTGCTGCAAGCGATGTTCATGTGGCGGCGGTACTTGACGTCTCCGTCGACACCATCGTCATCGCCGTCATCGTCGTCGGGGTCCGAGGCGTCGTTGCCCAGGCCGAGACCGTGCTCGTCCCTGTCGTGCATGAGCAGATGACCGGCCTCATGGATAAGGTCCTTGCGCGTGATGATTCCCTGCACGTTGTTGCGCTCATCCGCTGCAGCACACACAACACCACACCCACATCAGCCAACACACGACACGACACATGGCCTCGGCGCAATCGCACGTGCGTGCGTACCGACGATAAGCCAGCGGAGGCCGAGGAGACGGAACAGCGGATAGACCGACGAAATCGACGCGTTCGGCGACACCGTGTACGGCCACTGATTCGTGTCTGCACATTAGACACACAGAGAAGGTGAGTGATCGTGGCTCATCGCGCCCAGCGAAGGTGGTGTCGATGGGGGGGATGGTACAGGGGAGCAGGCTGACGGGCGACGACTCGATGGTCTCGCCCTCCTGGATGCCGAGGGACGGGTGCAGCTCGAGCTGCGCTTGGTTGTTGGCCAGCATCTGGACGAGCTGCTTGCGCGAGATGACGCCGCGGAGGGTGCGGGTCTTGCCGCGACGGAGCTGGCCCTCGGGGTCGGTGTGCTGCACCACGGGGAAGGCCTGGTGCTTGAACGGGTACCCGTCGCACTCCTTGAGCACCTCGTTGATCCGCGCCGGGAAGTCGCGTTCGTCCAGACAGATCGGGTCGCCGTGCATCAACTGTGGTGTGGTGGGGCGTGGGCGTGTCATTTGCATGTAAGTGGGGGGGGGATCAATCATTGAAGTTAACTCGGGAGCTACGTACGTCTTTGGCGGTGAAGAAGCGGAACTCGGATGGGGCGTCCCACTCGAGGAATGGCGCTTTCTGGTGGCGCCATGATGGTAGATCGGAGGTAAAAACTACTGAGTGGAATGCGAGAGTGTGTCGTGTAGTGTAGAAGGTGTACCTTGACGTGGATGATTTCGTGGATGATGGAATCGGAGCGGATGTCTGCCACCCATTTGGCCACCACGACGGCGATGCCGAGCGGAATGGCGTATGTGAATTCTGTGGTGGCGGTGTTGCGTTGATGTGTGATTCGGGGTCAAACACGGGACATGCACCGCGGGGGGGGGGAAGATATGTGGGAGGTTCAGCCCGTACCGTTGGTTGATTCTATGATGATCGCAGCTAAGGCACTGCGTGGTCAATAGAGGGCGTTAGTTATGCTCAGTTTGGCGCAGACACACCACAACACGAATGGCGTTTCGAAGATGGGTCGCGCACACTGTAAGCCGGGTGAAGCCAGACAGGACGGCAACGGAGGCGATGATGGCAGCGCCCGTTTCATCAATGCCAGCGTCCCACGGCAGGTTTTCGTTGAGCACTTGCGCGAAGAATCGCCCATAGCCTCCGCCTGCACAGCCCAGGGCTCACGTGAGAAAGCGTGTGCCATGAAGCAGAACGTGTGCGGCGGTGAGTGCGTGTGTGCGTACCGATGAAGAAGCACGGGATGAGGAGACCGCCAGGAACGGCAATGCCCAGGGTGATCATCATGAGCAAGTAGAAGAAACTGCTGAACGCAACCAATGATATCTGTGCGTGCGTGCGAGCGTGCGTGTTGTCGTCAGACAATGGTGCCATTGCGGGAACCTGAGCGGCATCGATGACGCGTACCTTGCTGAAGTGGGCGTTATTGTGCCACAGCTGGCGGGTGGCCGCCTCCATGCCGTTCATGAAGAGCGTCGCCATGTCGTTCCACTCTCCCTATAATTCCCCGAGCGATCATGAGTGAGTGGCCAGGCGGGCCCATCAGGTGCAATGGGGGGCTTGTGCGGTTCGGCACCTTGGCGCAGTTGAACTGACGGAACTTGAGCGGCGACTCTTTGAGCTCCTCGGTCAGTGGACTGCCCCGAACGCAATCGGATCAGTCAACGGTGGACACCTCAGCAGCAAGCGATGACGAAAGCGGGGGAGAAGGTACTGGCAAGCGGAGAGCCAGGTACTGGAGAGGTAGATGGTGACGCTGGTGATGAACGCCACCAGCATTCCCTGTGGAGAAACGTTTCAGTGATGAACAGCCAAAACATGAAGAGGGAGGCGGATTGATCGGCACCTCGATGATGCGGCGATAGGGCATGGGGTTGATACGCTGTGCGCGGAAGTTGTTGATCCGTGCGACCGCCTTGTTCCACAGCATGCCCAGCAAGCCGCCTGAGTCGGTGGATGGCCGCGTTGTGAGGTCATGAATGAGTTGAAGCAATAAGAGAGGGCAGTGGATGAAGGTGGTGCGAGTGTGTGTGGGTACCCATGACGCCCAGGAGGACGTAGAAGACAAAGGCGGTGATCTTGAAGGAGGACATGTTGGGCTTGAAGGGTCCGAAGAACAGATAGCCCTCCATCTCCAGAGCGCCCCAGCTGTCCACGATGAATCCCTGCCCACAATCCTCATTAGAGGCCTCGACAGTGCTTGGGCGCGGTGCACGCATTGCGTGCGCGTGCGTGCGTGTGCGGTCGTGTGCATGTGTGCGGGTGTGTGCGGTGTGTGCGTGGTGGAGGCGAGGGATACCTGGAGGAAGATGAAGAAGAAGAACTTGGCGGAGAGGCCGCAGAAGAAGGAGAAGAGAATGAGGTCCGTGTCCCAGAACGACGCGCCCTCCTCGAGCACCAGCAGCACCCCCGAAATCGGGGCTCCGAACGCGCTCGCCATGCCTGGTAGTCGCGAGTTCAGCCCAGCCAGCTTTCAATTGACGGCGAGGCGACGAGGTGCGGGTGTAGTACCTGCAGCAGTGCCGGCGCAGATGAACTGGAGCTTGTCGCGGTCGTTACGGAACGACGTGAACAGACCGCTGTCGAACTTGAACGACGAGGCCTGCGCAGAGATGCAACAGTTCAGCGGAAGGACCGGTCTAGTAGAACAAATGCTCAACAGCACGCACCTTGCCCTGCGACAGACCCGCACCGATAATACCGCCGGACTGTACGATCGGGGCTAAAAACGGGATTAGTCAGCAACGTCGATGTCATCGGCCGAACAGAGGTGAGGTGGTAGGACGGGGTGCGTACCCTCGGGGCCGAGGGTCATTGAACCCGAGACGGAGAGAATTGTGCATACGATCTTGCCCACAAGCGTCTTCAGCCGCACCACGCGGGGCATGTTGATCGAGTTCAGATAGGCCACCACCTCAGGCACACCCACGCCGCCAATTGCGGGCTGTCGTTAAAGAGAAGTGTCAGCCCTGTCGCATCGCACACGCACACACACGCACGACCGCACACGAACCTCGATGTAGGTGCAGATGAGGAGGACAGGCAGGACGAGGGTCATGTTGAGGCCGACGAAGAGGAGGAAGGGCGGGAAGAAGCCGACGTCGAGGTCGATGACCTGCTGCACCCACCCGTTCTTGAGGCTCATGAGCTTCTCCACGCACCACAGGATGAGGATGGCCACCAGGGCCGTGCCCAGCGCCACGCCGCTCACAAGAATCCACTTCTCGGCTCGCTCCATCAGCAGTTGCTATGTTTTGTTTGTACACGCCCACGTGCGCAGGTAAGTTGCGGGTGCAAGTTCATCTGAGGAAGGGAGGGAAGGTGTACACTGCGTGGCTTGCTGGCCAGTGTTCGCTGGGAGAGTGAGGTGTCATAGGGGTCATAGTCGAGACTCTCGTACTCCTACACGATGTTGGGGGAGAACCTTCAAGGTTACAACTGGCAGTGCTGTTTATGTCATAGTCAATGCAGCATGAAGAACGCACCAGGCTCTTCTTGGGAAGGTGATGGCCAACATGAGGACGCCGCACCCGCTCCTACCACCGCACGTGCAGGAAGCGTGAGGAGCAGAAAACGCGAAGGCGATATTGCGGGGGGGGGGAGCGAAACGGAAGAGATGGGAAGAGGAATGAGGACTAACCCTCAACTTAGCTCCGGTCTCTAACATTCCGCCTCCTTGCACCGCCCAAAATGCCTTCCTCGGCTACGAACGCAACCACAAACAGAGAACCCTGCCGGCAGGTTTGGGTTCCTTCGTATTGAAGGAACGGAGACGAACTTCTTCGCTCTTCTTTTCTTTCTTTCTTTCTTTTCCTTTTCTTTTTCCCTTCGCGTTTTATTTGGCGTGCCTCAAGCTTCTTCGAACAGGACCTTCAGCTGGGCTGAGGTTAGGCGACGAGGCCCAAGTCCTTGGCGATCATCTTGGACGCTGTGGATACGAAAGAGCGCAACGCGTGAGATGGATGATTGGGAAAGAAGACGAAGAGGATAAGAAGAGAAGAGAAGAGTACCGATGGGGTGGTAGGCCTCGCGGTGCTGGGAGAAGGTGTCGAGGGCGATCTGCTTGGCCACGCCCTCAGCGCGGAAGAGGTCGCGGAAGAGCGGGCGGACGAACTTCATGCGGCCCTGCTCCTTGAGGAAGCTCACGACGTTGGGGTAGACCGTGTCGTAGCCGTGCTTGATGGCGAGCGTGTACCACCTGAAGCGCACCTCCGAGTTACGCGACTGCGTCAGGCCGTAAACCTTGTCCATCTTCGCCAGCTTGTCGGCGTTCAGGCCCTCCGAGACTGTGAGCTTCTCCAGGAACGCGACTGTCGTAACACAAATTCGAATCCATTCAGCGTTTGCGGTTTGTGTGTGCCGTGTGTCAATATGCGCAAAGTGTGGGGAGTGGTACCGGTCTGAGGCGTGGACCAGCCCTCGATGTCGGAGGCCTTAGCCTCGGGCTCGGCGGAAGCGAGCCACTTCTGGGCAAGCTCGTTAGACTGCACGGCCAGCGAGTCGTCGAACTTGGACAGGATCTCCACGGGAGGCATGCCCTGTCGATAGCATACACGCGGAGGAAGAGCGCGGCTAGTGTCAAGGGGTGAAGAAGAGGCAAAGGGAGAACAAGGGGAGGGCTCACCGGCTGGGTGAACCAGGCCGTCCAGTCGATCGCCTGCAGCTTCGAGGCGTCAAAGTCGGGCAGATTTTTGAAGTAGTTGAGGAAGAACTCCTTGAAGTCATCCGTGGTAAGGGTCGTGTTCGCGAACTAAAAGAGAACCGGGCGAACGCACAACGCACGTACAGAGCAGAGAATGAGCTCGGTGCTTTGGGCATGCTGTCAGTGAACCAGAGGAGGGTGTACCTTGTTAACGTAGGCCTTAAGGAAGGGCTCAAACAGGGCAGGGCCACCGACGGTGAGCTCGAGGAAATAGAGGAACTGGCTTCCCTTTTCGTAGGGGACCGAGCTGAAGGCCTGTGTGAGAAAGCCAACGACCAGGCAAGAGGGTGAGAGTCAGACATGATGTTCAATGGTGGCAGCATCGAGCAGGCACGTACATCATCAGGGTCAACTCCGTGCTGGCTGTGTTGCACAGGAATAGTGAGTGGGAAAATTAACTCCGAATGTCATAGTGGGGTGAGAGACTTACCACTGGACGAGCTTGGTGAACTCCTGCTCCTGGGGTCCGAAGTGGGTGATGGAGTCGACGAGAGCATGGTTGCCGAGCAGCGCGCTGAACTGCCTGTGCTCTTCGCCACGAAGACGACCTGAACCACCCCAACCCGGGCAAAGAGAAGAGTTACTAGCTGAATCTTTCGGGTCTTATCATCGAGATGACCGACCGATGATCTTGCGCTCAACAAAGACAGTAAAGCCCTCGTTCAGCCTGCATACAAAGGACAGAGCGTGAGTTAGTATAAAGCACCTTGGCGGTGCAAGGTGGTGGGGCCGGGAATAAACTTACCAGAAATGCTCCCAGGTGCGGTTGGTCACGAGGTTGCCCATCCAGCTACAAAGGGGCTCGGTCAGCAGAGACGGAGGGTAAGACAGAATCCTCAGAGGGGTACATACCTGTGCGCAATTTCGTGGGCCACGACGTCGGTAAGGGATCGATCGCCGGCCAGCAGCGTGGGGGTCACAAAGGTGAGGCATGGGTTCTGTTGTGAGTCGCGGTGATGGGAACGGGAGTCATCAGTACACCATGCGACGAATGGCTGATTGTTTTTTGGCAAAGCTGGAATGTTGCGGATTCGTACCTCCATGCCACCATAGGGGAAGCTGTGGAGACAAATCATGCATTCGCATAATGGTAAGTTGTTGGTTTCTGCCGATAGGAATAGCGGCAGACCCGGGACGTACCTGGAAGGAAGCAGCAGCACGTCGTAGCGGCCCCACTCGTAGGGGGTGAGCAGGTCCTCAGCGGTCTTCAGGTAGTCCTCTGTCGATTGTGATGCCCATAGGAACTCAGCGAACGGAGAACCTCCCTGCTACAGAGAACGGGACAAAGGAAGAACGTACCGGTGTTGGAGAACTCCCAGGCGGCAGCCTCCAGCTTCTCGCGCTCGGTCCACACCTTCGACCTGGGTCCGATGTCCTTGGACACCAGGTCGCCGACAACGAGGGCCACGAGATAGGACTGTAATACGCAATGGGAAATAGGTGAGTTATCGGCAACAACACACAGCGCTACCAAAACCGGATCTGCGTACCGGAATGGACACTTTCTGCTCGAAGGCGAACGTCTTCTTACCCTCCTGCTCGGTCTCGCCGACTTTGGAAGTCGAGAATCGTAGTTAGGCCGACGTGTCACAGAAGACTGGGGGATTCGAGTGTACGCACCGCTGATGGCGCTCATGAGAGCGACGAGCTTCTGAGGCACAGTGATACGTGCGGTGTACGGCGCTAAACGGATACGAGAACGGGAGCGTTAGTGAAACGTACACTTTTGTTTCGGGACAGAACACATACCCTTGATAGAGGGCGAATCCTGGCACGGCACAGCCGAGCGGCAGTGAATAGCTTGGAACTGGCTGAAGAGGTAGGGATGCGTCTTTCCCTCCGTTTGGCTTCGCCAAGCAACAATGCGCACCCATAGAGTCAGCTCCACACGAGTAAACAACTCAAACAAGGTGGGGGATAAGAAGCAGAAGTGGGGTGTACCTGGGTGCAAGCCACTGCAGACCGGACGCAGTGGGGCTGGTTTCGTACTCCACGCGAACGACGAAGCGCGAGCCCGCACCCTGAGCCTCCTGCAGATCAATCTCCAGCGCCTGGCCAAACGCGTCGCTCTTCTGGCCCAGTGCGAACTGCAGCGGCAAGGGCGAAGGGCATGAGGGCTACAGTTGCCAACTAGACGGGGTGAGGGCACGTGGCATTACCTGCAGGGGGCCGCCTGGAATGGCAGCAACGGCAGTGACCTTGAGGTCGCGGGTGTCGAGCACGACACGCTTCAGGCCATCCTTGAGCGATTCGAGAGCCAAATCGACGTGGCTGCAGCCCACAATACGGTCAGATTGACCCCGTGGGCCTTGGGCTATTGAATTTTGAGCATCTTGATCAAAATGTGATTGTGCATGTACCCGCAAAGAACGTGACGCTCAAAATCGACGTCGAGCTCGATGTGCAGGTTGGTCGTGCGCACCTCCGTCACGTTGGAATACGAAGCCGGGTCGCTCATGGTGTGCTGGAAAGAAAAGCGAGTATCGCACGATCAACGCCGAAATAAAAAACTGGCCTTTTCTCGCAGGTCTGGAAACGTTTGAACTCGTTTCAAATTGTTTCCGAAACCGGTGTGTCGGCACACGAGCCGCCAATGGCGGACAGCCACGGTGGCTACAGACTGGAGGGTGAGGTGGCAGGTTCCTGTTCAGTTGGATTGACACAGCATCATCACCATGGCCCGCCTCCTTCTCCCCTTCCTCCTGCTCTCGGCCCTCCTGGCCTGCGCCAGCGCCAGCAACGTCGTTGATCTCACCCCCGAGAACTTCGATAAGGTGCTCGACGGCAGCAAGCCCGCCTTCGTTGAGTTCTACGCCCCGTGGTGCGGTCACTGCAAGAACCTCATTCCCGTACGCCATCCATTTTGCGATAATAATTTTGCATTTACTTAACATTTACTGATTTGTGGAGAACAGGTCTACGAGGTCTTCGCCGATGCCTTCGCTCATGCCAAGGACAAGGTCGTGATCGCCAAGGTTGACGCTGATGCCCACAGTGCGCTCGGCAGCCGCTTCGACGTGAAGGGGTACCGCATCTCGCCCCTGTTCTTGCATTTTATCATCTACTCTCATCTTCTTGCTACAGCCGAGGGCATAGTGCATCTTCTTACGTTTGATCTCTCTTTGTAGTTTCCCCACCCTCAAGTTCTTCCCCAGCGGCAACCCTGAGGAGTCGCAGAAGTACGAGGGCGGCAGGTCCGAGGACGACCTCATCTCCTTCATCGAGAAGAACACCGGCGTCAAGGCTAAGAGGGCCCCCGCTCCTCCCAGCTACGTCACCGTGCTTAGCGAGAGCAACTTCAAGAGCGAGATCGTCGAGAGTGACACTGATGCCCTCGTCGAGTTCTACGCCCCGTGGTGCGGTCACTGCAAGAAGCTGACTCCCGAGTACGAGAAGGTCGCTGCCGCCTACAAGAACGAGGCCGGCGTCAAGGTCGCTAAAGTCGGTACGCACGTTGCGTCTTGTCTTCCTGTGTCGTTGTTGTGGTTGTTGTTATCCTCGTGATGCTAATTGTTGTGTTGTGTCATGGGACAGACTGCGATGCCAACTCTGCCCTTTGCCAGCAGTATGGCGTTTCGGGCTACCCCACTCTGAAGTGGTTCCCCAAGGGCGAGAAGGCCAGCCCCGTCGACTATGATGGTGGCAGGGACCTCGCTTCCTTCGTCAAGTTCATCAACGAGAAGGCTGGCACTGAGAGGCTCGCCAACGGTCACCCCGGCCCCAACGCTGGTCGCGTCGCCGATCTCGACGTCGTGGTCAAGGCCTACGCTGATGCCGAGGACAAGGCCGCTCTCCTCGAGAAGGCCAAGGAGGTCGCCACCGGTCTTGCTGGTGATGCCGCCAAGTACGTCATCCTCCCCTTCATCCCACTTTGATGAAGTGTTTCTTCTTTGTGGGCCGAGATGTCGTCGATAGAACGGTACACTTACGTTCTTCTTCCTCCAGGCACGCCAAGATTTACATCAGGGCGCTTGAACTCCTGAAGACCAAGCCCGAGTACCTCACGACTGAGACTGAGAGGCTCACCCGCATGATCGAGAGCGGCAGCCTCAGCGCCGCCAAGGTCGACGAGTTCGTCGCCAGGCTCAACATCCTCGCCGCCTTCCACTAAGCTCATCCTCACCACGCTACACCCTCACCCTCTTCTTCATCTCCTTCTCCACTAGTGGGCCAATAAATATATTTGCTCATTACTTTGTGAGTGTGAAGGTAGTGATGGCATCGAGTAGGACAAAAAGAAAAAGAGAAGAAGAAGAAGAGCAGACCCTCATGGTGGAGGTTCGAGGAAGAGCTGCTTGAAGAACTCGTAGCTGGCGATCATGAGGGCGCAGGCGGGTGCCACCTTGGCGGTACGTGGCACGATGCCCTTGACTAGGCCCCGCATCCCTTCCTCCTCCACAATGGCCCGCAGGATCGCTCTTGACGATGGCGGGTAGTGCTGAAGCACAAGAGGAGGAGGTGACTGGCGGTGAGATGACTTTCGTGACGGTGATGACGACATGCCACTACTGGGGAAGAGCAAGCGTACGGGAGTGTCGGTGGCAGCGGCGCCAATCGACATCTGTCGTCGGGTCTTCACAACGTCGATGGGGGTGGTGAAGCTTGCGGCGAGGCAGCCCGCACCGGCACCCGATACAAAATTGACGAGGAACCCTCGCTGGCCAACACCCCAGACTTGGTAAGTACCACAAAAAGAAGAAAGAGAGGGCCTAGGCGTACCTTGTCGCCTGGTTGAATGGCATGCTTGATGTACTCATACGAACTCCAGTAACTGTATGGAAAAGAGAGATATCAGAGAGGGTGGCATGAGATGAGCGGTGAGCTGAAGACGGGGCTCTGCAGTGCGGTGATGAACCACGTACATGATAGAGAAGGGAACATCTCGCCACAGCGTTGGAGCCAGCCCCGTCCACAAATGTACAATTCCTCGACTCCTCACCAGCTCTAGCATGATCTGTGTGATACCTGGGAGCGGACAAACAAATGAGAGGAGGTGCGTGTGCGTGTGCGTGGCGCCAGCCAACGGCGGACGACATACCTTTCTGCATATGCGCAGACTTGCCATGTGACTGTACGTAGGTGCGCATGAGCTCCAGTGGCGCTGTGAAACACACGGTCACCGTTCGGGCAAACAAGCCTGCAAGGTGTTGACACAGTGTACAGTGCCGAGTGTGAGAAACCGAATGCACCTCCACCACGAGAGATACGGTCTGCACGCACCTGCGAAGACGGGGGCAAGGGCAGGAAACGATCGGTCGAATCGAGTCTTTGTTCGATCGTAGAGCATAAAGTACCTGCGCGAGAGCGTCAGGTGCGTCAAAGAATTAACGTGTGATCGTCGCGATGTGCACTCCCGGGCAGTGGGATGCAGCACGCACAGGGAATTGGCAGGCACGGTCAGCACGAGTGCGGCCGTGAGCCCGCGCCACAGCGCACGCACGCCTTCCACCCGCACGATCTTGACGAACGCGTCCTGCGCACACAAGCAAGCCAAATAAATATGATTCGTATTTGTTGAGTAAAATAAAGATTGATTACCACTAAAACAGCAAAATCAATTATGAACAATAATTATTGTAAAATAAAATAAAATAAAATAAAACCTCAGGGAGGGGCAGAAAGATGAGGGCCCACCTTGGTCCCGGAGAAGTGCAGCGAGGGAGCCCCGCTCGTGCGCACCACGGACCCCGTTGCGCGCGGTTGTGCCTGGCTGCTGAGTGGATCGAACTGCGCCTGCAGCCTCGTCTTCACCACATCGAACGGCGTAACTGAATCGTCATCCGGAATAAGATTAGATTAAATCATCATATAGGAGATTGATTTCTCCTTCTGAGGGAAGGCGGCAAACCGAAGAGGGCAGTGGCGATGCCGCCGGCGGTGGCGGCGAGGACCTGCTGGCGCAAGGAGAGCTCTTTGGTGGGCACGTCCCGCACGCAGAACCTGCCACAGGCCTGCGCTTCAAGCGACTCCTCCATGTGTTGTGTGTTGCTGCAGCTGCTACTCGTGTTGTGCGCAGACAAGAGCCAGAGTTGGCCTTGCGTTGTGCGGACTTGCAAATAACAAGAAATACGTCGCAACCCGCCGATACCTCTGCGGCATTTACCCCCACCCAACGAACGCGAACTTCGCGTCACGAAGCGAAAGTCGTTCTTCCAAGAGGTGGCCGTATCGAACGAGACTCTGCAGCCAAGCTCGACGCATTGCCTCAACGCGCCCTCTGCTGTCTTTTGTGTGGGAGGCTTGTTGCTGTTGGCAATTTATTATATTTATATTTTTTTTACATTATTTGGACGAAAACGAAAGAGAAGGTTTCGAGTCCGGACACACATCCATTCGTCTCTCACCGCTCGTGTTTTTTTGAATCGGTTGTGCCATTCCTCCTACTGGCAATGAGCCAAAAACTCTATGGTTCGAAGCCAGTGGTGGAGACCCCACCGCTCAGCGCCAACATTGTGCGCAATTTGAGCGACAAGCTCTATGAGAAGCGCAAAATGGGAGCCCTCGAGCTCGAGCAGCTGATTCGAGACTCCAAGGACGCGAAGGATACCGAAAAGATCAACACCATCATCAATTTCATCACTTCCCAATTCGCCCTCTCGTCATCTGGCAATCAGCGCAAAGGGGGCCTCATCGCCCTCGCCGCCACCGCCATCGGTCTCGGCGCGGTACATCTCTCCCGCTCCTCCATGCATTCCATTGTTGTGGGGCAGCCACGATGAACCATTCGATGTTTGCGTGCCGTGCAGGAAACGTGGCGATACCTCAACAAGCTTGTGCCGCCCGTGCTCAAGTGCTTCGGCGACCAGGACAGCCGAGTGCGATACTATGCGTGCGAGGCCATGTACAACATCTCCAAGGTGGCCCGCGGCCGTACCCTCACCTTCTTCAACGAAATCTTCGAAGGCCTTTGCCGCGTATGCACCACTTCCCTACTTCTTCTTCTTCTTCACCTTTCCGATGCGTCCTATTCTGTTGCTAACCTTCTTCGGTGGTCCTGCGTGTGTTGCAATCGTCGACGCGCGCACAGCTTTCGGCGGACAAGGACCTGAACGTCAAGAACGGTGCGCAGCTGCTCGACCGACTGGTCAAGGACATCGTCACCGAAAGCGACGCCTTTGACATTGAACGGTAAGCCACACACACACCACACACACAACACACACAACCCTAATCAGTCGAGTGGCGTAGTTTTTGACTCTTTCTCTCTTTCGCCAGCTTCGTGCCGCTGCTCAAGGAGCGAATCCAAGTGACCAACACGTTCGTGCGGTCGTTCCTCATCGGTACGACACGGCCCGCGTCGTCGTCGGCACGCACAGTGGGAAGTGCAACCGTGAATTGATCGTGTGTGTGTCATGTGTGCCGTGTGTCACAGGCTGGGTGACGGTCCTCGACTCGGTGCCCGACATAGAGTTGCTCGAATACCTGCCCGAGTTCCTGGACGGCCTCTTCAAGATGCTCTCCGATAACGAGCAGGTTGGCTGGCTCCTTCTCCCCACGTCGCTGACCCATGCGAGCGAGGCCAGCCTCACTAACCCGCACGCAATGTGTGCGTGCGGTGTGTGTGTGTGTACGACAGGACATTCGCACGCAAGCAGACAACGTGTTGGCCGAGTTCCTCAAAGAGATCCGCTCGGCTCCTCACGTCGAGTTCGGCAAGATGGTCGAGATTCTCATCCCTTTCGCCACTTCCCTCGGTACTCCCCTCCAGTTGGTCGTCGTCGTCGTCGTCGTCGTTGTCGTCGTTGGTGTTGTTGGGTGGCACTAATCTGAGTTGGGGGGGGGGGGCACAACAGACGAGTTCACACAGCTGACGGCGCTCAAGTGGGTCAACGAGTTCATTCTGTGCGGCAAGGAGGAGCTGCTGCCCTACGCTGCCGACCTGGTGGGCGCCATTCTGCCCTCCATCTCCCATCGCGTGCAGGACATCCAGCAGCAGGCCTCCAGCGCCAACACCTCCCTCCTCCGCCTCATCAGCGGGTACACCTCCCTACACCTCGCCCACGTCGCGCTCGAAGCGTCTTTGTGACACGTGTGTGCGGTGTGTGCGGCGTGTGTCGTGTGCGACGTGAAGAACGCAGCAGGAGTTTGCGATTGGACAGTTCCTGGGGCGGATTACGGACGAGTTCAAGTCGGGATCGGTGCCCACGAGGCTGGCCGCGCTGGGCTGGGTGCTCATGCTCTACTCCAAGACGCCCGAGAAGCTGGCGCCCTTCCTCGACACCCTCTACCCGGCCCTCCTGCGCATGCTCTCCGACTCGGCCGACGACGTGGTGCGCGTGGACCTCGAGGTGCTGGCCAAGCTGTCCTCGCAGAGCACCTCCGCCACCTACCCCTACTTCGACAAGCTCATGCACAACCTCGTCTCGCTCTTCTACAGCGACCGCCATGTGCGTCTCCCTCGGTCCCAACTGTAACTTTTACTTTCTGCTTACAAGTGTGTCGCCGTCGTGTGATTGTGTGTGGTGTGTGGTGTGTGGTGTGTGTGGTGTGTGTGGTGTGGTGTGGTGTGTGTGTGTGTGTGTTAACTAGTTGCTGGAAAGCCGAGGCTGCTTGGTGATCAGGCAGCTGAGTCTGCACATCAACCCCGAGAAGATCTACCGAGCTCTGGCCAGCATTTTGCAAGACCAACAGGTACGCTTCCGCAACCCAGGGACCTTCCGCCTGGCCCTCTCTCTGCTCACCGCGTGTGTCCATACAATCACGTTCTTGTGTACAGGACCCCGAGTTCGCGTGCGTGATGATTCAAACGCTCAACGTCATCCTCCTCACTTCTACCGAGCTTTACGATCTCAGGTCGGTCCCACACCACTGCACCTCTTCTCGCCGTTGTTGACGCTCTCCCCCCCCCCTTCCAATCATGCGTGCGTAGGCTGCACTTGAAGGATTTGAGCACGCCTGAAAGTAGGGAGCTGTTCATAATTCTGTATCGCTCGTGGTGCAACAATGCCGTGGCCACCTTCTCTCTCTGCCTCCTATCGCAGGCCTACGAGCACGCGACCCACCTCATCGCCAAATTGTACGCCCTCCCCCTCCCTTCACTTCGTTTGTGTTGAAGCAACGCAAGTTGTGCAGCGTTCGAGAGGATCACGCCAAGCGCTCACTCTCTTGTAACGACCACAGTGCAGACGTGGAGGTGACGGTCAATCTGCTGATGGAGATCGACAAGCTGGTCCAACTTCTCGAGTCGCCCGTTTTCACGTGTACGTGCCAACCACGTTGTTGGTAATATTTGTGTGTCTGTGATGTGCTGATCGATGTCCTCGGAACAGCGCTGCGATTGCAGCTCCTGGAGCCCGAGCAGTACGGGCACCTGTACAAATGCCTCTACGGCCTCCTGATGCTGCTCCCCCAGAGCGCGGCGTTCAACACCCTCAAGAACCGCCTTTCCAGCGTCTCTTCCCTGTCTATGCTCCAGCTCCTCCCCCGCGGGTAGCGCCCCCCCCCCCGTCACACGTCTCTTCTTGGACAATTGCTTACGTGTCTGGCACCAATCAATCGCTTAGGGTTGGTGCGGTGGATAAGGGCGCTGTCCAGCAAGAGAGGATCCAGGAAGAAGGCATCGACTTCAAAGGTGCTTTCCACGCGCTCCGCTCGTTCTTCCTTCAGGCCTCCTTACCGTGTCTGTGTGTGTGGGACACTACAGAGTTGCTGGATCACTTCGTGGAGGTGCAGCGGCGGCACCAGGAGCACCGACGCAAGGCCTACAAGGAGGCCCTTACAGGCGGCGGAAGTGGGAGCGAAAGGGAGAGGACGAGCACGGGCACGTCAAGCCTCACTTCATCAAGCTCGCAGGTGCACACAACGCCGGCCCGGCCGAAGAACGAGAAAAAGAAGTCCATCGCGGCTGTGCCTGGGCTCGCCCTCACCCAGCTGTTCAGGAGCCAGCCCTCCTCTTAGATTACGCCGTAAACAAGTTGCATCAACCACTTAGAATTAGGTGCAGAAATCGGCTTGTGTCAAATTTCAGATCAAAGAGGCGCATCAGCTGCGCGCTACCACGGACCACGGACCAGGCGCCTTATAATTGCTCGCTGGTTGGTGCCCCTCTTCAGAAGGCCTCGCGCACTCAACGGCAAGATGGGAAGAAGTAGGTTGGAAGGATTTTATTGTTTGTGGTGTTGTGGCGACAAACATGATGCGAACATAAACAGGATGGGAGTACCGTGTAGACACATACCATTCAGTAAGGAGCCGCCTTACTGAAGCAGACAAGTGCTAGCACTATACAAAATGATTGGGTGTTTAACATTGATTGTTGGTGTGTGGCGGTGTGGTGTAAGCGACTGATGACAAATACCTTGGATGGACTGCAGAGCAGAGTATCCAGGTCTCGGGTCTCGGGCGTTCTTCCTCGGGGAGGATGGTATCTAGAGCGGTGTCTAGAAAGGAACACACAGTTCCGTTAATCTCCGACTCAGCAAAAGCACGATAAAGTGCATGCGATTGGAGGAGGGGATGGTATAAGCAAGCCCCAACGTCCTGGTCGAGGACAAGTCGAAAGCTTCGACGCGCGGCGTGAGCAGCTCTTGCTACGTCGCTCGACGACTACGGTTGGGTACGGCTGTCGGTCGCGGGATGAGCTTAGGCGTTGGTCGAGACGAAGGCGCGGATGAGCTCCTCGTTGGAGGCGTAGGCATCGAGCTCGAACTCGGAGTAGAGGCCCGACTCGTAGTCAACGTCGGCGGGAGTCGACTGCTTGACGGTCTTCGGGCGCTGGAGAATCTGCGAATCGACGTACGCGTGGTTAATCTCCTTGCTGTTAGCGCGACGAGGGCTTCGGCGCTTGTAGATGGCACGGGTGGCTACGCCGTTCTTCTGGCAGTTGTAGGCGGTCGAGCTGGGGTAAGCGATGAAGGCGTTCATTGTGGGATGTGGAGGATGGAAGTCGAGGATGGTTGGTGTGGGTGGTCTGTTGGTGTGTGGGTGTTGGTGGTCTGTGATGCGTTTGCGTGCGGTGAAGAAAAAAGGATCAGCCTCCCGCGAAAAGGTTTTAGTCTTTTTCTCGGACTTAGCGCCCAATGCGCGGAAGGTAGCTAAACCAGAAATTTCTTTGCAACACCTGCAGGGCAACGACATTCGTGACATTCTTCGACTAGGAGGAAATCGAGGGAAATCATGGCGAACAAAAGAAAATCGGTCAATATTAAAATTATATTGGCATGCAGGCGGAAGCGGCGTCCGGGATCGAGGGGCGGTGGTGGAGCACGGAGGGGAGGACCCAGCAGCTGATTGATTTGGCGCGGGAGTCTTCGCCGCTCTACGTCTACGATGGACCCTCCGTTGCGCAGGCCCTTTCTCAACTCCGCAGCCTTTCCTCCATCGATTCCTTCTTCTACGCCATCAAGGCCAACCCTCACCCTGACGGTACGCCACCGCGCCCACTTTCATATTTTGAGTTTTATTTATTTATTTATTCTGGCAGTGTTGCGCGCTGTGTACGAGGCCGGGTTCGGGTTCGAATGCGTGAGCCCCGGCGAAGTGAAGCACGTGCTGGCGCTGTTCCCCGGCCTGAAGCTGA